CATCCGTCCATCCGTCCATCCGTCCATCCGTCCATCCGTCCATCCGTCCATCCGTCCCACCTTCCCATTATTAATTCATAACTATTTTCCATCATTCCCCCAGTTTCCTCGCTACAGTGTTACTTCTGCCACAGCTACAGCTCATTCCAAGACTGTGAACGAAACAGCGAGCTCGTACAATGCGGTTTCGAAACTCGCTGTGGAAAGGTCAGCTACGAGCTCCCTCACGCGAATGTATACAAGAAAAGCTGCATCGAGCTGGCCTATTGCAAAGACCACGAAAGATTTTGTCTACAAGCTGCTAATGATGCCAAGGAATGCGAGGTGCTTTGTTGTCAAGGTGACAGTTGTAACGCAGGCTCTAGGATAGTCAGCGGTTTTTTAATCTGGGCATGCGTGGTGACGACTTTGGTCATAGGAAAATTATCATAGTACGGCAAGATATGTTGGAGATTAAAAGTGGAAAAATGGCCAGAAGTATTATTATCTGAGGATGCGTAATAGACTTTGGAAAATTAACGTTTTGAGAGCCCGCGTTTTTTTCGGTAATCCGAATGGGATTCGAGTTTATCGTAACGCCTAATGAACGTCATTATATAGTTGTCATTTGATTGGATAATACGACAATGAAAATGAACCGGAACCGGGTAAAATAGAATCCCGCGTCSAAGTGCAAACTGGGRAATAYGGTGTTTTGCGWGCWCAMRTAAATGACCGCGGGCACATACCAAYGTAGAGGGATAACGATGTGCGCSCATTYTATCMTAAAATTTWAAARATATGAAATAAATWTTGAATCAATCTYTSCTATGAATATAATRTGCCAACTGTTGTTTATTATTAGTAATTTTGTCTAAATTCATGCGTATCGAGGACCAAAAGTCATAGACTCAAGCGGATAAACGACCTACCTTCCCTCCCTTGGAAAAAATGAGCCTCAGACTGTAAACTCTTATTAACCTGCTTAAGACCCACCCCCTGGGGCACTTTTCTTTGTTTTGCAGCATATGTTTTTGACTGGTGAATGTGACTTGACGTGTTTCGGTTGACAACGTTCACGTGTTTAATCTTTATTGATAAAATCAAGCTCGACTATGGCTGGACTATATATCTGCCTTCTCGCTCTCTTCAYTACCTTCAAATTTACAGGTATGTAGTGTTTCATTCATTTTGTACGTGTATTTTTGTGCTTTTTGTGATATTTTTTAAAGCTTCACTTGTCCCAACATATTCTTGKTTTAAACCATTTGTATYAAATACCTCTCGAAAGGTCAATAGYGAAAGATTTCCTCTCAAATTCTAAAGCTATTGATCTCAAAAACATTGATGTAAAAATCTTTAAAAATATRAAGATTAAACACAGCAAACATTTTATATTTCGTGCATAAAACTGAGCTGTAAATAATTAAAATTTTAAACCTAAACAAAAACTTGTAATATAATTTTACTTTACTGAAGAAATGTAAAGCAACCAGAAAATCTTCAACTTTTATTGAGYAGTATTGTTTTTGAGCATAGTTAATAGAGKGGAAACATTTCTTAAGCTATAAMTTCTAATTATTCACCWATWTTTTTAGTTTAAGATWAMTTTTTCCTCGTWATTTTTTACAAACAAACAAAACTAAATTCGAGAAGGAATAACTTATCACCTGATTTGCAGTCCAACAGTCCAATATCCTGCCGTTCGGGGATCGTAAAACACGAGAAACAATTGCTTTCGATATTGCTAAATTGACTTTGTCTGCTCGATTGTCACTCACAATTCGTCTCTATTCAACTTCACCTACGTAAAATTYTGTTTTAGTATTCTCGGCAATTTGACCAAGACTAATGAGCCAAAATTGGGATATTTACGACTTCATTAATATCAATAGTACAAAGAGCTATAGATTGAGTTGGTTTGAATTTCAGTACATAAATACATAAATGAGTATCCTTAATTATCCAATCAGTACGTATTCATTTTTCGTGTAAACAAAAAGGAATTGTTATATTTATGGCTCAAATTCATAAGGTACAGTTCATTACAAGAACATTCTATCTTAAATATCTTAAATATTCTATTGTTTTTTATCCCRAAGCATATTTTTTAAGGCGTGTTTTTTCTGACATTTTGTGTTATAGTTGGCAAGCTTCTCGAGGTCTTAGATAAAAGGCTGATCTTATCTCTTCGAGTGAGACGATCTTAACCGAGATATTCATCTGATCAGTGACAGTCAGGCTTGAGGTCCTAATCAAATTGCCTGAAAAAAGCCGTCTTTTTCGGTCTTTAACTCGTTAGGGTACAGAATATTAGCAGAAAATTGCAGGTGCGAGTGAGACAATTATTCCCCGAGGGGCAGGAAAAAGATTCAATGAGTTCTCTGTTTTCGCGCGATAAAAAACATATCACTTATGAAAACAAAATTTTTGCACATAAAAATGATTCATTTAGGATTAAAAAGTGATGACTARGTTACCGAATTTAATACAAAAAGAAGTCATTTTTTATGGAACTTTCCCTGCTAGTAGGGAATATCGAACTCTAACGCAACACCTCTATTCAGCGGACACCCTTCATTAAACGGACAGCTAGTTACACGACCTTCAAATTATTTTCCCATACATTTAATTTTGAAAAAACAAAACTTTAGTCTAGTTGCTTGGTATACTCAAATTCTTTTTTCATATACAGCTATTTCAAAAAAGGTTGAATACTGAATACTGCATACTGAATAGTGCATTCCAAGACCGAAGTGCATTGTGGGTCTCGTTAATTTGAAATAAAAAGTAAATATACAGCAATTAACTCTCTACATGTAGTTAGTATATTGTTTCAGGTGGAATACACTAAAAATAGAATGAATAATAATTATCAATCCTACTTTAGACAATGTCACTATGACCCACAATGCACTTTGGTCTTGGAATGCACTAAAAATAGAATAAATAATTATTATTAATCCTACTTTAGACAATGTCACTATGACCTACAATGCATTTCGGTCTTTGGAATGCACTAAAAATAGAATAAATTATTATCATTAATCCTACTTTAGACATTGTCACTATGACAGTATGCATTATTCAGGATCGAACCTTTTTTGAAACAGTTGTACTTACTGTGAAACAAACCTCTATTCAGCGGACAGGCAGCTATATATACATGCATAGRCATATGGGTCTGAAATTATCTTCCCATTATTTACTATTGAAAAAACCGAACATCTTTTATTTAGCGGGTATTTGTGTGTCCACTTAATAGAGGTACCCCTGTATGTACTGTAAAACTAACCTCTCTTAAGGGATGTCTTTTATTTAGCAACCCAGACAAGGYCCTGAATTTTTTGTTGTTGTTTTTTCCCTATCAACCAGAAACTYTAAAATGCCACTCATGTAGCAACATCGACTCCTACGACAGCTGCTTGGAAGAAAAAGTAATCGAGGAATGCCCTGCAAGCTTACTCTGTGCGAAGTTTTCCTACAAGTTAMGGAAGGATAATGGCGACCTTCTTCAAGTCTATGGCAGGGCCTGTCAGAATGAGGACAACTGCAAGGACCCTAAGACGCTTTGCCGCACCTCGAATCTTATGAGCGAATGCGATATTTATTGTTGTGACGATAAAGACATGTGTAATGCTGGCTCATATTATCGGGTCAGCGGTCTTCTTTTGCTCGCATG